ATCTGCAAAATTTAGCCAATCAGATTTTTTAGCTTCAACATCAGCCAAACTTCAGCATCAGCCGTAACAATTATTATGTAATCTGCCCGCTTTAAGGCTTTAGATTGTACGTGTCAAGCTTTAGTTATAAAAGATACTTAATGGCTTCAAGATCTTTTCCTATACAATTGAATTTGCCAATTTTTAAACGGAACTTTAAGGGAATTAACTTAATTCGAAAATATGCCACTGCATCAGATACCGTTAGACTATCCTTTACTCAATTTGATCCACCGAAGCTAAATGAAATGCCTGAATGTAGCACATTAATAATTCTTCATGGGTTATTTGGCTCAAAACAGAATTGGAGATCATTGGCAAAAATTTTCGCCCAACGCTTGAATACTCGTGTCTTTACTTTGGTAAAGACTAATTCACATACATTTATTGATTTTTATATATTTTTAATAATTTTTAAAACTTCAGGATCTAAGAAACCATGGTGAAAGTCCACACTCTGAAGTGCATAATTATGAAGTTATGGCCAAAGATGTTGTAACCTTCATGAACGAACACCAGCTTAAAAGAACATTTATAATGGGTCATTCTATGTATGTGTAGCATATTTCATAATACATTTATTAAGATTAGTCAGAATTACAACAAAACATAAACTTGTTGCTTAGGGGAGGGAAGGTTGCCATGACTATGGCACTCATGCAAGTGCCTCAGATTGATCAGCTTGTAATTGTCGATAGTGCTCCAATTGATGCTCGCATGTCAAAAGAGTTCGATACTTATGTCGAAATAATGAAAAAAATTGAGCAAATTGGAGTCGTGAAACAGAGTCAAGCTGATGAAATAATGAAAAGTTATATTTCGGTAAAATAAATATGCTTTTTCTAAAATAACGATGCATTTTTCTTTCCTTTTACCATGTGTCGCTTAAATATTGTTAAACTAATAGGACATTAATATACGACAATTTTTACTGACAAATCTTAAAAAAGATCCAGAATCAGAAACATACAAATTTCGCATTCCACTAGACGTGCTTGGAAATTCGCTTAAAACATTGCACGGATTCCCTTTTGATTCTGCTCGCCACACTTTTCATAAAAGTACACTTTTTGTTGCTGGAACCAAGTCGAAGTACATTTACCAATACTTTATTTGCTCTATTTGTTCAGCTAGCTTAGACATAACGTCAGGTATTTCTTCTACATTTTCAGAG